GAAACTCCTTCCATTGCTTTAAAGTTCTGTATTGCTTTCAACATAGTGATTTAGACTCATGTCTAGGAATTTCTTAGTCTATGGAAAAACATATTTCCTTAAGCTGTATTTAATAGCCCAATTCAATATGACATTCCGTAGCAAACAAAGCTCCCCTCTTTTCATGGTCTTCTTCAGAGGATTCAAGAAGTCTACATAGATAAATGGATTTTTGTTAATGTTTATAGCATTTTCATCTTTGTAATGGGATGGAGCTACAAAGAAAACATTTAATTAAACATTTAAAAATAAATTGAAATAATAAGTTAAAATTAATAAAAATTATAATTGTAACCTTTGGAGTTTCTTTATAAAGAGGTAACTTTGAAATTGTGATCCAGCTAACTTTTCAGCCACTACTCCTAAGCATAATGAATTATTTCTATTTACTAAGAATTTCATTTGCTCAATATCCTAAACTGGGCAGATGATTTTTAAATTAAAAAATGTATTTTAGTGCAATAAGAGCACTTAACACAGCAGCTACTCTTTTTACATACACATTTTCTTAAAGTGGCTAAAAAGTTATCAGCCATTATAGACATAGCTAATTCATTTTGCTAGCTGGAACTTTATGCCTGTGGGATAGCAATCACTCTTTTGACCCAGAAACTAGCAACCACATTTTTAGTTCTTAAGCCTATGAGCATGACTATATTTGTGGAGTCATGAAAGACTTGGTTCCTTACATCACCAACTCACTTCACTTAGCATAATGACTTCAACAGTAACATTAACGTATATAGATTAAGTTGGTTGAAAAGGTCCTGTGATCTTCTCTGCTCAATATTAGAGTGAGCTAAACCTTACAATGCCCATGTAGCTTCCTGAGGACAAGCTGATAGGAAATGGTTAAGTTGAAATTGGAACTCAGGCTCCTTTGCTATTAGTGGCTGCTGACTTATCTGCTCCCCACCCAAGTTTTGCCAGATCAAAAATGGTGCCCTCTATTAAGTCCTCTAAAGCAGTTCCTTTAATGACACATAGAAACACAGATGAAGGTACCCCAGAGCCCCGTCTAACTGCTTCATCACAACCTTCGCTCTCATTTTTTAAGAAAAAGAGATTGTTATTTCTAACACTTTGTGGCTTTGACAATCACCCCCGACCTGGTCCTCTCCTTTAAAATGCTCCCTTACTCTTTTGCAGTCAAAGCCTAGCACTCTTCCCTGTGTCCTGTGGGGGCTCGAACAACCTCAAGTATTTGTGCATCGAGTGTCATAAATGTAAATCCTCTTTTCTCTATTATTATCTTTAACCTCAGGCCTTACAGTATTTCTCCAATTGTGGGGCTTTCCCTGCACCGCTTGCACATCGAACTCAAAGTGAAACCTCAGTAATTGTAGTGTGCTTGGGCAGTAGAAAGAGGCAGGCTTTAGGTTCTCTCACTGTGCTGTGTGCCTAGGTTAAACACCACCCACTTGGAGCACTGTGATGCTGTGTGGGGTGTATTCTAGCATTGGGCAGGTCTGCATTCCTCAGGCCGCTGGTCAGACTCTGATAGTGGTGGCACCGTTTTGAGAGGGGACAGCCATCCAGATGCCAGACTTGGTTGAATCAAGGCAACCTCACACTTAATAATAGATAAGAGCTGGCAGCTGGCATAGCATTTTCTTAGAAAAATGGAAGAGATGTAGGTTCTAAGAAACAAGCCTAGAAGGTCTAGAATAAGATGCTGCTATGAGTCCTCAATGTCAATACCACCCTGTTCTCAAGGTAGGGAAGACATTTGATTTCTGCTTGGGAGCGAGACTCAACCCTATAGAGCCTATGCTAAGTGGTTATGAATTCAACAGGATTCTATGAAAAAGTACCTAACAGGAGGAATGGGTTATGGGGGCCAGTCACTCAGCTGCAAAGGGCCTTTCTACTTAAGCTGTTATTGGGGGAAGGTTCCAAGGATGCATCAGGAATGTCATTTTGAAGGACAGAGGTGAGAATAGTCACTTAGTATCCTTGGGAATCTTTCTTTGGGTTAGTTTTCAATTTCACTCAAGCCTGGGGCCATATTAAGGAGCACATGGATACATTCCATGTCTACAAGAAACCAAAGACTAAGAAGTTCCATGGCCAGAACTCAGGCACAGTGGTATTTCTACTTTTATTATGTTCTGTTAGAAGCAGCTAAATTTAGAGAATTGCTTCAAGTCTTCTGAGTATCAAGAGACATTCCACAGGGACCTCCTTGTCTGTGTTTGTCTTTCAGCATCTCCAGTTAGCCTGACATGGAGCGGTGTCCTATAGGCCCAAGTGGAACACAGTGTGGCCTGGAGTGGAAGCAGTGTGCAGTAGCAGATTTAATTATGGTCACATGTGGAGGAGAGAGATCTGTCAGCTCAGAATGCAAGAGAAATGGACACAATGAATAGAAAATAAGTAGGCTAAGTGTGGTGAGAAAGGAAGAGGCTGGCAAGGTCCCAGGAAAGCAAATGTGAGGCTAACGTGGTGATTCATGGATGGATGCATGGAATGACCTTTGGGGAGAGAGAGAGAGAGAGAGAGAGAGAGAGAGAGAGAGAGAGAGAGAGAGAGAGAGAGAGAGAGAGAGAGAGAGAGAGAGAGAGAGAGAACGTGTGCCTGTAACTTCAGGATGGTGGGGACTTGAAGGGTGCAGGAGAGTGGTGTGTTTAGGTCCTTGAGTAACGCAGCCCAGCCAGAGAAAGACAAGCACCAAACAGAAGCAATGCTGCCATGATACTGGCTACCTGCTGGCTGTTTTTCTCTCCAGTGGAACGCTGGTAATTAAGCCTATTCCAAGGATTAAGGGAGCACTTTCTCAGAAAAAGAGAGCTTTTAAATTTCAGTTCCCTACCAAGGCTCATACAGTCACCTCCCTTTGCATGGAGAATTAATCCCCGCTCCTTTTCCAGTCTTTATGGCATCCATGCACAGTCCCTCTAGTTGCTCAGGTGCAACCACACTGCCTCCCCTGAACTGCTGTCTTCCATTCCCTGTGAGCATTTTGTTTTGGCTCTGTGAGGTCTAGTCCTCTGTGGACCCACAACTCCAATGGCACATCTTCCAAGAGGCCTCTGAAATCAGTTGCATCAAGCTTTTGGTAGGTGTCCTTCCATGACTAAAGCATGTCTTTTACAGGAAGAGTCCAAGTTGCTTGTTATCTACTGTCACGGGGCTACTTCCGCATTCTCAAGAAAATTTGCCAACATATCCATGTATTAGTGAACAGTAACAAAAACGATAGAGCCTGGCTGACATACAGTGGATTCTTGGAATTATAGTAACCTGTTTGTTGCTTTAAATTTATAACATGGTACAAGATTATAACATGGAAAAACAGATGTTTCCATTTGAGTGGCCCTTGTTTGCCTCACCATAAATAAAGTGGAAAACCACTAGATTTGTATACATGGTACCACGTGCTCTGGGAAGTAGGCTGTGGATTTCCTGCAGTTGTGGAGAAGGCTATCCAGCAAATACTTGCTAACACATAGCATTTCAGCATCCTCTCTCTGACCCATGGAGACCAATTGAGACTTTCTTTCAATTTGTGCACACATCACAGAGAACCATACATAAATAGATATTCAACAGCTCCAACCCAATTCCTACTGCTAAAGAGAAGAAAAATATCCAAGTAAGCGGTAAAAAATGTGCTTGGTTTCTTAAATGTAGAAATGGCAATTTTCAACATTTATACAAATTGCCACATTCTAAGGGCTGCAGCTTGAAGACTGAACAGGAAGCAAAGCTGCAGCTAACAGCAACTCTGGTGGTGCCTGCTTGGAAGTGAAGGCTTAGTCAGTCCTGTGGCACCACTGTGGCAATCCACATGTCATTAGCCAGAGGGCCTTGTATCAGGATTGACATATCCCATGTTGATTCTCTGTCATGCAAAGCACTCCAGCTAAATTCTCTTACATTTGGAGCATATGAATTTGCTAACATTAGTGTGTCTAATGGTGAAATGGCTCCTACATGTGACAGGGGCTTCCTTAAAATCTTCTAAGCATTCTCTGAATTCTGCATGCATACTGAAATTTGAGTTCAGTTGAATATACAAATAAGTTTAAAAAGAGTTAGACAAATTAGGAAATGGGGAACTGGAACGACACAGGAAGACAGAAAAATTAATTTTAAGACACGAACAGTAAGTTTCCCACAGCGCCATCTCTTTGATGCAAAGTAAAGTCTGAAGCAGAACAATACTGTTCTGACGTCTCTCTTGCATCTGTAGTTTCTTTTCTCTTGCCTATGTCATCGTGTGCTTTCACTGATGAAAACCCAATGCATGTACTTTTTAAAGGGTAGTTAGAACAGAAATGGATATTTGTGGATGAAAAAGAAAGCACATCCAATGGACCAAATGCACTGAAGTCCAGAGCCTATGGCCATGATGAACAAAATACTAGTGATCTGAATTTGACAGGCTGCTGTGAGCCCTTCTAGATGGAGCCATGCTGCCTGTCCACATCACCTTCCTGAGAACTCTATGAAGGGAAATTAATTTTTAGTAACATGAAACCAAGCAGAGTCAACTCTCTGGCATGTGTAATCAGCAAAGACTAACAGATAAGATATTCTGAAGCACACAGTAGTTTTTGCTATACTCATTTAAAAACAGAACGATGGGAATTTGTATCCTGGTGCCAATAGAACAAGACTAGAAATTGAAGTGGGTGGCAGCTCCTCAGGAGAGGTCCTTCCAGTGGAAGGAAGGTATGGTTTAGAGTCATGTCATTTCCTGACATAGAATGTGCCATGTTTAACTGCAAAACCAACAATCCACAGGTAGACAGTGTCTATCAAAGGCCAGAAATAGCTGTGGTCTTCAGGGATGAACATATTTCTACAACACAAAGGTTTGTTTAGGATGTGCTTCTTTTTCTAACAAAGAAAATGGTGTAGAAATGCTAACATGATCATTTATGCTTTTAGATAACTATTAGAGTCTGCATGGAGATGACCACAGTCTGTCACAGTGTCACACAATTGCATGTTACCTTGGATACGAGGCTGGCTCTGTATGCTGCTAGTTGCTTCAGGTACTCCTTCTTTGCAGCCTCGGTTTTCTTCTTATAAACCTGCGACAGCAACAGAAAGTCTTAAATTAGACCGAGGATCTGCTTTTGTTTCGAGGATGGACAATACAGAATGGTAATTGTACACACATACAGATAATTATATATATAATATATGTATATAATAACAGCTCCCATAGAGTGTGTTTTCTTCCCGAAACAGGTTTGAAAGAAGAAAAATAGGCTCTGTAAGAAAAGAATTTACAATTGTAAAGTTTTGCATTTTTCAGAGTGGTTTTGAAATGATCCGTGAGCATGGAAATAAATGGCAACATTGAAGAAGGCTTCCCGAGGAGCATCACCCAGGAATTCATATTTATACAGCAGGCAGTAATTCAACAGCATCGTAATATTCTAACATTTGTGTTCCATGCCAACCAAACACAAAACCGAAATGGGATTCAAGAATGATGCAACATATTCAGTATGGAAATCAACAGACAGGTATTGGCAGCTGTGGGCTCATCACAATTTTAAGATTCTTAAAGTTATATTTCCAAGGATTTGGGAGTCAGGAGCAGCAGGCAAGGGTACGGTGGGACTGGAATAGAATAGTGAGTAGCTAGGGACACAACCTGCCATGCCACATGACCTGAGCATCATGTATTTTCCAACGGAAACATGGATGACAGCTGTGGGGACCTCGTAAAAGTTATCCGCAATGAATAGACACCCACAGAGGCTTGAAAACCAAAGTAAAAGCCTTTGGAAATAGAGACCTGAGATGTGACCAGCTCCTGTGTGCCAGAAGTCACTGTGTGCTGCTTTGGGGTACAGAGGGGTTCATTTTCTTCCCTGAGGCTGAGTTTCCAAGGTTCCAAAGTGCTGCGATCTTTTAAAATCAGTCAAAATGAACAAAATGCTCTACTGTGGAAATGGAAATATATCCCTCTGTTATGACTGTTAATCAGACTCAGGTTAATATTGAGAAGTTGTATAGAATATGTTTGGGCAGTTCAATAAAGACTGTGTCTAAAGCCAAACAGCCAGCAGTAGAGGGAAATCTTCATGTTCTAGAGACAGAGGTTTGCTGTATCCTGACTTTGAAATTGAGATGTGAGAAATATTATTTACTCATGAATATTTGAACTCCAGCAGAACCTTTTGCCCAGGTAAACAAATGACTACCCTTGCAGCTGGATTCTAGCAGGACCTATGAAATGAATGCGATTACTCCCCTTTAGGAGGTCTGCATCTTTGACTTTCACATCTACAATTTTATAGAGTAAATACTAATTAAAGAAAAGACACATTAGTCAGTGAAATATTATCATTTGATCATCCTATCATCTTTACTAAATGAGAAATGAAAGAAAATTAGATATTCTCTTGTTCGTAATACAAAAGTTAATATATCCTTTTATTGAAGCACAGGAGTGTCATAGATTTACAGGACTACTGCAAAATTCAAATCCAGAATCTTCTGTGGAAATTCTCATATGCATACAAATGACACTAAAGAATTTGAGCATTATGACCCTACTTGGCCCAGCCACAAAGAGAAACAGAGCACTTCTGATCTTTATCGATTTATTTCTTTTTTTTCCTCCTGCTAGTTTTTACTTAAGTCCATTTCTTCATGACATAATTTATAAATAATGACTCTAAGCACACTCTTTCTTCTTATTACCTTAAAGTGGTTCTGAGGAGCTGGAGTGATAGCTCAGTGGAAAGAGTGCTTGCTTACAAGTATGAGGGCTTGCTTTTGAGTGACAGGATCCATGCAAATCTCTCAGCATGGTTGTGCATGTCTGTGTTCCCAGCATCATGGGTAGGCACAGGGAGATCCTGAGAGCACAGCTTGCTGTCCAGCTGCCCTAGCAGAAATAGCACACGTCTGTTCAAAAGGAGACCTTGTCTCAAGGTAATAAAACAGAGAGATATAGAGGAAGAGACCCAGAGTCCTTTTCTGATTTCTGAATGCATGAATAGGGGCATACATGCCTACACACTCATGTGCATACATGCATCTCATGCACACAGACACACAGACACACACACAGATACTCCTACACACACATAAACACAGACACACACAGACCACATACACATACATACACACACAGGCATACATACATACACACACATACACACATACATACACACACATACGCACATACATACACACATGCAGACACACAGACATACGCAAAGACACACGCAGATGCACATACATACACATATAGATGCACAGACACTCACATGTACACACACACACACACACACACCATGGTTTTGAGAGTTATTTCCTCCCATACACATAGATATCTTAGAAAAATTTGAAGAAAATAATTAGTAAAAAAAGTCTTTGACACTTTTAAGTGTCCTAAATAATTACATCTCGATTTGAATTAATATGCTATGCTGTGCCTACTTAGTATTCATTTAGCTTTTAGAGAGATTATAATATATGTAGGTCTCTAGCCTTGCCCCAAATATTGTTTCCTAAGCAGCACAGGGTAATATGGCATGATTCTAGCATTTCCTCTTTCTTTCATTTGGTTTTTATTTGGAACCACAACAGTGTAAGCATGAGGTTTATCCTTCGTGGGGCTGCTGGCAGCTAATATCACAAAGTGTTAACAATCCCGCAGTGTGTTTATTAACAACTTGGACAGAGAGGTGCATAACTCCCGCACTTCAGACTGAACATACGGCCTGGTTCCACCCAGGATCGATGCTGTTAGGGGATACCTGACTAGCATTCAGAGATCCCTGTTTCACAAATGGCTCCCCATTGGCTATTGATGATTGGCTATGTTGGGATCATTGTGTAAGTGCCTAAACACCACTTTAGGGCAGTGTAAACTCATCACTTCACATTATGTGAATTGATGGGTCCACATGCTCCAAATAGCTGCAGATGTACAGGGGGAGAACTCAAAGGGGGCTCATTTCGGGAAGTATATTTCTGTAATTGTGTTTAAAGGAGGGTAGCCCAGATCAGAGTGGAAGTCTGAGGTTGTCTACCCAGTGATAATTAGACCTTCCACCTTTGAGAACTGCCTAATAGCTCAATACTACATGCTGTGCGTGCCTCTCTGATGTTTCTCTTTAAAATTGGGCTAGGATGCTATTCGAATCCTGTGTCAATGGAAATGTCCAAAGACCTCAAACCCAAGAGAATGATACTTACATGTGAGAATTCCACATGTAAAGAAAGTAGGGGAAACTCTTATTCTAGAACATAAATTTCAAGATAACTGCTAAAAAGTTCCTAAAAGATGTTTCAAAACTTCAAGTTATGGATGGAGAACCCCCTTCATTTACAGAAACTAAAGGGGCTGTGGGATTGCATTCAGGTGTGAGCAGTCACTTCAGTGATCAAGTGCACCAGCCTGACCTCCTGACCTGTGAGGATGGAGCTGATTTATGTCAAAGTTAAGTTTGGGAAAAACATAGTTTCTCTTAGGAAAGACAAATATTTTAAAGGTATGTGATTCATACAGTAAATATTAGTGTCCTGCTGAGCTACAAAATGACTTTCAAATGGGCCACAGCTGTTTGAAATGAAGTCCAAAAATGGCCAGAAGTGGATTTAAAAACATAATACATCATTTATCATTTCCTCAATTCATGCAAACACTTTTGAATTCATCTGCCTTAACATAGTTATACGCTGTGGCTTGTTATTCCAAGAAAGCCACCATTTCCTATCTGAGGATTGCATCTCATTGGTTAAACTAAAACACATATAACAGCTAACCAGAAACACACATAGATAGACATCAGATAGCAGTTCTGGAGAAGCAGTTCTGTTCATATGATCCTGCCATCCAGCCAATGCTCTGAATACCACTGAGTCCATGTGTTTTTACAGGCTGATAATCCCTAATTAAAATTGGCAGTCCAATGTCAGTGAATGCGACACACTTAAACAGAAAAAAGCTCTTTCACAAACAATCCACCCCAGTTAATGGAGAAAAGCAAACTCTTATAAATACCAGCTAATTCCCTCTTCCTTCTTCTTTCTGGCTTGGGCTTGTAACCTCTGGTCAGTTTACTTCAATAGTTGTTATAATCATAAAAAGGGAAATATCCTTCTTACTTTGTATTCTATTCAAACCCCATTTCAAAACTGACAAGGTGTTTTCCTTTTTGGATAAGTGCAAATGTCTTTTTTCCCTCACTACCTATTTATTCTATAAATAAATTTATTCTATAAATAAATTTTCTTATTTATAGAAAATGCTTAGCAACAGAATTATGTATGAAAAAGAATTACTTCACAATTCCAGAGACACAACTTCAGAAACTTCATGTGTATTTCCCCTTTCAGGGGTACCATTGTTTAGGTCAATCGGAGAAAATGCATCAGTATTTTATACACAGCTTGGTCCTTAATTATGGTCACCTATTCATCTTGTCTAACTTACTTACATTTTCTTAAGGAAACCCTAACTGGAAAGATTTCACTAGGCAGTGTTCAGAGGATTAAAAACATTACAGGATGTGACAAAAATTTTGCTCTTAATTCCTTTTGAAAACCATCTGATACACCTGAAGGGTCTTGGTCATGTTGGTGCCACCTGTTCCTAGCTAGTAGGGACCAGAAACCAGCAGCTCTGCTTTAGAGATGGCTATGTAATATGCCTGTTTATGTGTTAAATGAAGATGACTAGCTGAATATCATGTTGTTCAATTACTCTTAACCAAAAGACTGGCTCCTATGTGCCTAATGTATTTTGAAGCATGAAAGGTACAGAAAAAAATAGCAATTTACATTATGCTTTGGTTACATGTTTCTTTTGTAGTTGTCACCAGACACTTTCTTTTATGCAACATCTTTAGTTCCTCCAAGAAGAATGTTGCCTTGGTATCATTATCCCTATTTTACAGAACAGGAAACAGGCACATTAAGCAATGAAATATGGCACAATCAGGAGTGAATCAAAGTAAGCCGGTGTCAGTCCTTTGTGTTTGCTAACAGTCTCCCTCTAGTTGTAAAAATACCCTCAGATGCCCCTTGAAATTAGAAATTCTCATGGCAGAAGCCCAGCTCA